TGATTAAAAAAAAAATTCCTGGGTTAGTCTTAGTCAGCATAGTTTCAAGTATGTAATATTTCATGATACTCTTGTCAAACATGACAATGGAATTAGACTCCAGATTCTTATGTGTAAACATCCATGGATCTCCCCCTTTTGGCCAGGTCAGAGGTCAGTCACACACGTAATTAATAACTCCTCTCTTGAAGAGTGTATGGTAAATGTCAAACAAGTTTAATGAAAATTCTTGCGTGTTTGTACACGTGTGGCCGATCTTTTACATTCTTGGGGTAGGTAGCAACAGTCAGTCTCCCCCTCCCCCCTGTTGAGTTGTATATAGAGGTCCTGTAGAGACTTAGTTGGAGGAGAGTGTGGTACACTGGGATCGAGAGCAGGTCTGTGAAGAACATCTCAGCCAGGGAGAGACAGAGGTCTTAAGGTAATGTGTGTGATCTCTGAGGTTTTGTTCCATGTCCAAATTTCTTAACTTTTTGCCAGTGTTAGAGTAGGATTTATAAGTGGTGATTGACATAACTTTGGTCTCAATAAACTCATGTTAAATTTCCCGTCTGTGTCAATTGTTGAATCCTCTTAGCCTTTTGGATATAGTGGCTGACAACCGTCCCATAATTAATGACAGTCATAGAAAGTACTCTCCAAGTCAAGCAATGTTTCTTGCCTCGTTGCTTGATAGAGTCTCAATGGTCAAGGGAGATGGTGGCAGCGTATTTAATCCTGTGTAGCATTTCCTTGTTTTGCAGTGTATCTGTTGGTTCCGGTGTAACCATCATATGTCAGCTCACATTACCGTGTTCAATAACAGTGTTACCAAGTGCACCGATAGGAAGTACTACTCAGGATAAGTAGTGTTTACATTATTAGTTTAGTATCCATTATAGTGGTGTTCCATTATAGTGGTGTTACATTTAGAGCGGTGTTACACTTCAATGCCAATGACGCTGCCCAATACTGTCGTAGTTAAGGTATGTCCACTCACAAGGTGAGCGACGCTGTCCAATAAATTCACCTTTCATGGCAGAATATTTATTTTAATTGCTGGCGCCACTAATGAGTCATGATGTGTACAGGCTTTGTGCGACCTTGAGCCCGCGCTTATTTATAAAGTCATTCTAGACCTCTGGGTTTCAAATTCTCCCACGCTTGGTGCCTATCATCTATTGTAACAGATTTACCTTTCCAATATTGTGTAGATTCCTTCTGGTTTTCTATCTTTTTACTGTCTGCATCAATTTACACTTGGCGGGGTTGAACTCTAATAGCCATTCGACGCCTGGAGTTTGTTAAGCTCTTCCTGTAGTTATCTACAGTATTCCTAGCTTCTGGCATTCCTCATAAGCTTTGCGTCGTTTGCAAATGTTGACACGTACGATCTCACTCCTTCGGGTCGGTAACTTTATTATTAAGTTAGGAACAGGAGTAGGAAAGATACTAAGCCTCGGGGGATTCCGCTTGTCACATCACTATAGTTCGACACCTCTGTGAATGGGACCCTTTCTTTTCTGTCCACTGTAGTGGTGGTTCTCGTGGCAGACGTGGTGGTAGTGGTGGTGGTGGGGGGGGGGGGTTGTTGTGGTGGTGGGGGTGGTGGTTCTCGTGGCAGACGTGGTGGTGGTGGTGAGGGGGGGGGGTGGTTGTGGTGGTTGTGGTGGTGGTGGTGGGGGTGGTGGTTCTCGTGGCAGACGTGGTGGTAGTGGTGTGGGGTGGTGGGAGTGGTGGTTGTGGTGGTGGTGGGAGTGCTGGTGGGGGTGGTGGTAGTGGCAAGAGTGGCAGTGGAATATCCACCTGACAGATGGAGCACAAGGGGCAATTACTGCAGCTGGCGTGGCGTCCAGCGACGAATTACATTAATGGACCAGCTGCCGGATGTGTGGTTTGTGTAGGTGGTGGAGGTGGAGCCAGCTGATGGAAGGGTCGAGAGTCGAGATTTGACCACGTGTTTAGGGTGGTGTCAAGTGGCAGAGGAAGCAACCCAAGTGGTTGTCATTGAGAGACGTCACCCTGCCTCGTGTACACAACCTCCATCATGGTATAGCATCACTCCTCTAATGTGTGACAATCTCCCCCAGCCCATCTTACTGATGGTGAGACAATTATCGTTTTGTGCTTCTGTATTCATCTGTATAAACCAACATATTCATGTTAGCAGACCGAATTTCACATCCTGGGGACAGCTCTGCCGCTGGACCCCTAATATATGTGTGTGTGCGTGTGTATTCACCTAGTTGTGCTTGCGGGGGTTGAGCTCTGCTCTTTCGGCCCGCCTCTCAACTGTCAATCAATTGTTTCTACTACTACTACTATTTTTTTCCACACCACACACACACACATACACACACACCAGGACGCAGCCCGTGACAGCTGACTAACTCCCAGGTACCTATTTACTGCTAGGTAACAGGGGCATAGGATGAAAGAAACTCTGCCCATCGTTTCTCGCCGGCGCCCGGAATCGAACTCGGGACCACAGGATCATGTGTACAGCGTGCTGTCCGCTCGGCCACCGGCTCCCTACTGTGTGTGTGTGTGTGTGTGTGTGTGTGTGTGTGTGTGTGTGTGTGTGTGTGTGTGTGTGTGTGTGTGTGTGTGTACGTGCGCATAATACACGTGAACGATCAATTATGTCAGGAAAAAGTCTTCCTATAGATATTCAAGAACACAGATCAAGCTCAGAGCAAAAATATTTTAATACTCTACAATACTTCATTAGAAAGGGGAGAAATACCAGAGACTTAAAAGATGTCTAACGTCTGATCTATATACTGAAGGTGGATAGCTAGGAGACTGGAGTGTGCGTACATACATATATCATTGACACGCAAACCTCGTAAGGTTCTACATAACCAATAATGAGGAGACGAGAGGTAGGTCAGAGTAGGACGGCGTGTGGAACAAAGCATCAACATGGGCTCACAGGAGGGATGTGTTGCCTGGTAACCCTCAGAGTTCTATGGCAAGACATTAATGGCTACACATGAAAGAGAATGATAGAATAACAAAGGGTATGATAGTAGAGTAAGTAAAGTAAGCATCAAGAGAAGACACCAAGCCGGGGAGACTATGAAGCCCGATCAAAGTCGCAGGGTATACAAAAGGCACTACATATCACTAAGGAAGCCAATACGAGAGCAAAAGTGCATAAGGCGAGCGATATCAAAGATATCGGACAGTCTTCACCAAACTGTCCTTGATAGAATCTTCCCAAAGATTCTATCGAGGGACAGTTGTAAAGCAAGACACACCAACGTCCTGAAAATCAGGACATTGAACAAGATGTGGGGCCGTAAGAAGGACAATGCAGTCCGGATAATGAAGCGCTGGGCGGCGCTCCATTACCTGTGAGTTAAAAGTGTACGGCCACTAGGTAACCTCACCAGAGCCGTTTCCCACTGCCGGTTACCATGGGAGGAGGAAGGCCAATGGGACACGCTACCATTACGAGCACGTAGATAGTTACCAGTAACAGAAGACCAACGACCCTGCCAACGGGCACGGATTGAGGAATGAATGAATGGGTACAGAACCACTTTGTGGGAAATACCACAAGTGTGGATAGCCTCATTAGTGTCAAAGAATAGGATAACTTTATTTTCCTGTATTCAGAGAAAGCATTTGGCATACTTGAGAAACAAGTTTTAGTAACAAGTAGTGTGCTAAATCGTGTACGAGAATAGGTATCCAATAGGAAGCACAGAAACAGTAGTGAGACTGGCGAGAGATGACTCCAGGGAAGTAACAAGTGGAAATCCCTCAAGGATCCGTCCCAGGACCCGTACAGTTCCTAAGATGCACACATTATACCACTGAGGATGTAGGATCATTCATGTCACTATAGATGGTGCAACACTGTTGATAAGAGTTAGAATAGATTATGATTGCAGAATGATTTGATTATGATTTCTGCCCGAAACGCTGCGCATACTAGTGGCTTTACAAGATTGTAAATACTATGCTATGTATTCTCTCTAACCCAATGTACCTTCTTGTATATAAATAAATAAAATAAAATAAAATAAAAAATGCTCCAGAAGGACTTGGATAAAGCAGCGAAATGCTTTGGCAAATATCTATTCGACTTTCATTCAAGTAAATGTAAGTTGATTATATTTGGGACGTGGATGAGAACGTGAGAGAGATGATGGTAGAGAGGGAAATGTTCGAGACGTAGCTCACAGCCTATCACCGGAGGAACACATTAACACAATAACCTCAGCGGCATATATGAAAATCTGGTGAACATTCGTGTACTTAATGAACCAAAACAAAGAAGCCTTCAATATTTTGTTCAGTATCTTTCTTGGCCTCAGCATGGACGACCCACATAAAAAAAACACACACAAGGAATACAAAATTCAGACATCCCAGATGGTCGCTACAAGACTGGTCACTCACTTTAGAGGCTTGAGCGCCAAGGAAAGGCTGAGGGTACATAGCCCTCACCACGCTGGAAAACAAAAAGTGTAAGAAGAGACATGATCACATGATACATGATTCTCAACTTCACCGGTAGAAATAAGCTTGAAAACAAGGCATTTGAGGGTCGTCAGCTACTTAGCGGCCACATTGGGGACAGGAAACCGGTGGCTTGTCAAAGGTCCCCCCCTCCCTAAAAGTAGATTATAATAAGTGACAATAGAATCGGGCAACCCGTTCTCGCACTAGCTTAAAGTCGATATTGGCTTATTTAATAAGTGCATATGTGACATACTAATTGGTTGTGAATATTTTAGTTTACCTTGAAAAGCTTCATAGAAAACACCGACCTCACCTACCCTTCTTAGTATGTTAAGATAAGCATCTTATTGCTTCTTATTTACAATTATTACTTAACCTATTAACGGTATAGGTTAAGTAATAATTGTAATTAAGAAGCAATCGGGAGTCTTCTCCTGTCACTTACGCAGACATGACACTTGTCACTCTTAAGACAATATGTAACCATCGACTAAATCACGGGGCTCAGGAGCTAAAGCTCACCCTGAGAGCACATTTAGTTAAGCTCATGTAAACCACAAACGTAGTTTGAGTGAAGTATTTCCGTGTTGTGTTGTGTTTGGCGCCCAACACCCAGGAAGCTCCCGCCCTGCCTGGGTGGTGGGGGCCTGGTCTCCCAGGCGTGGGGTGATGGGGGCCTGGTCTCCCAGGAGTAGGGTGATGGGGGCCTGGTCTCCCAGGGGTAGGGTGATGGGGGCCTGGTCTCCCAGGCGTGGGGTGATGGGGGCCTGGTCTCCCAGGAGTAGGGTGATGGGGGCCTGGTCTCCCAGGGGTAGGGTGATGGGGGCCTGGTCTCCCAGGCGTGGGGTGATGGGGGCCTGGTCTCCCAGGAGTAGGGTGATGGGGGCCTGGTCTCCCAGGGGTAGGGTGATGGGGGCCTGGTCTCCCAGGCGTGGGGTGATGGGGGCCTGGTCTCCCAGGAGTAGGGTGATGGGGGCCTGGTCTCCCAGGGGCAGGGTGATGGGGGCCTGGTCTCCCAGGGGTAGGGTGATGGGGGCCCCTGGTCTCCCAGGGGTAGGGTGATGGGGGCCTGGTCTCCCAGGAGTGGGTGATGGGGGCCTGGTCTCCCAGGGGTGGGTGATGGGGGCTTGGTCTCCCAGGAGTAGGGTGATGGGGGCCTGGTCTCCCAGGAGTAGGGTGATGGGGGCCTGGTCTCCCAGGAGTAGGGTGATGGGGCCCTGGTCTCCCAGGAGTAGGGTGATGGGGGCCTGGTCTCCCAGGAGTAGGGTGGAGTGGTGGGAGCCTCAAACCATCGAACTAACAGAACAAGTCATATATTAATTTTATTCAAAATTAAAAATACAAGACACAGTTTCATGCCATGAAAATTATCTCTGTAGAATAGACCTAAAACTATAAACAGATATCATTAGTCTTCCACCGGACAACGTAATTATAACGTGATAATTATCACCGATATACGGTGATAAATTTCAGATATTCAGGTATATTCAAAATTAAGAACTTAAACGAAATAACAGGATACAAGATAGATCAGATCTCGCAGAAGGAAAACATGCAAGGGATCTAGGGATCACGATGTTGGACAACTCAATGTTTAGTTAGCATAACAAAGCAAACATAGTAACATGCAGGAAAATGTTAAAATGTATTATGAGAACTTCCATTTCCAAGGACTAAACCACGATGCTATTTTATATCACTTATACTTTATACCTCTTGAGTACTGCTCAATACTCACTTTCCCTTATAAAGCAGAAAAGATTTCTGAGAGAAAGGGCAGTTCTAAGCTCATATATATATATATATATATATATATATATATATATATATATATATATATATATATATATATATATATATATGACACGCATAGACACGGTAAAGCACCTTAATTACTGAAAGCTCTCAAAGCTCTCAAAATGTACTCTAGGAGTATATTTCCAAGCCTGGTCCCAGGCTTGACTTGTCTTGGCTTGACTTAGGGAGAAGAACTCTCAGAATAAACCAAAAGGTAAATACAGTTCTACAGGGAGGAAGGGTAGAGTGATGAGGGCTTGGCCTTCCACGGGTGAGACGGGGGGAGGGGGAGGAACAGCTTTGGATGGGGGGGTGAATAACCCCCTCCCCCCCCCCCGAGTAGACGTTGGTGGTAAGGGTGAACGACCCCCCCTTCCCCACCCCCACTGTGTTGCTAAGGGAACAGTGTGACCATCTCTGGTGGCCCACGGGAAAAAAAACTGGAACTCGGAGGGAGGAACAGTGGACAGGTTCAGAAATAGCGGCGGGGTGGCGGGGGCCAAGAGCCAGGGCGTGCACCTGGCCGCACTCCTCACACCTGCTCTACACGTGCTTCCTCGTGCACACACACACACACACACACACACACACACACACACACACACACACACACACACACACACACACACACACACATACACATACACATACACATACACACACACACACACACACACGCTTCCTCAAGCACACATGTGCACGGACACATGTATGAGGATAAATACAATGGGAGACTGCATGAAACTACAAGACGACCAGGACAAATATAGACAATATGGTCCCTCAACTGGCTACTAGAGTCTAATTCTAGCAAGTGCAAAGTAATGAAGCTGGGTACGGGGACTGAGACCGGACACAAGGTATCATGAGAGAGAAAATCCTAATAAAATCGAATAGAGAAAAGATTTGGTGTCGATCTTACTCCCAAACTGCCACCAGAAGCCCGCATCAAAAAGAGTATTTATTATCAGCTGCATACGGAAGATCGGTTAACATAAGAACTGCTTTTAGTAATCTGAACAGTCGCTCAGAATCTTATAATTCATTTATATTTGACCAATTCTGGTATCTGCGACACCAGCATAGAGTACTTATCAAGTTAAACACAAAACTTTAAGCTCCGGAAAGTCCAGAGGTATGATACCAGACTAGTCCCAGAGCTGAGAGGTAAGAGCTACGAGGAAAGACTACCGTCATTAAACCTTACATTACTGGAAGGCAAAAGAAACGGGGGAGAAATGATTACCACTTACAAAATTTCAAGGGAATAGACAGTGCAGACTATTTTGCACGGGTGGAACGCTAACAAGGTGACAGGTTGAAACGTAAGTACCCAAATGAGCCACAGAAACATTAGAAAGATTTTGTTCAGTGTCAGTGTAGTTAACAAATAGAATGCATTAGGCAGTCATGTGGTGGAGGCTGACTCCATGCAGTTATAAATGCAGATTTGACAACGCAATAGGCTCTGGAACCTATACACCAGTCGACTGAGAATTGGGAGGCGGGGCCCAAGAGCCACGGCTCACTTAGGTGAGATAAATAAATTCAGCTAGGCAGGTACCTATATGTACACACACACACACACACATTATATATATATATATATATATATATATATATATATATATATATATATATATATATATATATATATATATATATATATATATATATATAAAATGGTGGTGTGCTGGTGCATACATGTGCATGCACACATACATAGATACAGTCACATATCCCCAACATACAAACGCACCCCGATACACAGACCTGAGTCAGACAAGGTCAGAGTACTGGGGCCAGACCTGTCAGCTGCACTACACGTGGTGTCGCGAGCACACGGTGCAGCCCTTGTCACACCGGCTCACATCCCCGCGCGCGAGGCACCTATACAAACTTCACAACCAGGTTGACTTAACTGAGAAAATGCTGGTAAGGATGAGAAGTTACAAAACGTAGCCGGGTCCAACAGCCTGGTTGATCAGTCCAGCAACCAGGAGACCTGGTCGACGACCGGGCCGCGGGGACGCTAAGCCCGGTCGTCGGGCTTAGCTTATAAACGTCGGGCTTATTCGAGCTGCCTCGTATGGGCCAATAGGCCTTCTGCTGTTACCTTTGTTCTTATGTTCTTATGTTCTAAGCCCCGGAAGCACCTCAAGGTAACCTCAAGGTAAGGTAAGGTTACCTCGCTGGTGGGAAACAGAGGGTAACAGTCGGAGTGGCGTGCACCTCAAGGTAACCTCAAGGTAAGGTAAGGTTACCTCGCTGGTGGGAAACAGAGGGTAACAGTCGGAGTGGCGTGCACCTCAAGGTAACCTCAAGGTAAGGTAAGGTTACCTCGCTGGTGGGAAACAGAGGGTAACAGTCGGAGTGGCGTGCACCTCAAGGTAACCTCAAGGTAAGGTAAGATTACCTCGCTGGTGGGAAACAGAGGGTAACAGTCGGAGTGGCGTGCCTCGGAGATTAGTATCGAAACCCCATGTGAATGAGAAAAGACTCTTGAGGATAATTACAACCTTACAAAAGACTTCAGGGTGATTTTGATGTGCTTAGGAATATGGCTACTAAACTTTAATCGTGATAAATGCAAGGTAATGATGATAGATGCGGGTGAGAAGACCTGCTGACAGGGCGGCAGCTTTAAGAAACAGTCTTGGAGAACATGAAGCAACAAACTTGTCCCTTGATGAAGATATTAGTATTTGTTGCAGATATAATTTTGTTAAACTGCTTGATATCAAAATAGTGTTTCAAAATACAATATACAACCTATATAAGACCAGCACTATAGCATGCAGCACTGGCATCAATTGGACACACAATAAATAGTAAATGAAAATAGAGAAAATTTAAAGATACGCAACTAAACCTCTTCTAGAGCTGAGGGGACTCGTCAACCGTGAAAAGTTGAGCAATCGAACTCATCAAATGCGAGACATGGTGGTAATGATAACAACGTGCAAGATACTAAGGGGAATTGACAGGATGGAGAGAGAGAAAATGTTCAAATTAAGAAAACGTAGCACTAGAGAGTTTAGTTATTGTAGATAGATTGTTGTTGTTGTTGTTTTAGATTCAACTATTCGGAACCAAAGTTCCAAGTAGCACGGGCTATGGTGAGCCCGTAGTGAAGTTAGGAAGATCATGCACATGACGGAACTCTCTAGAGCTCCTTACCTGCAGTGAGCCGAGTTCCGTGTTACCCGCGGTGGGCATTGAGCAGAGAATGATTTCATATGACACTATGAACATTTTCAATTCAGAATTTCAGAACACTGATGAACATTTCTTAAAGAGTCCCTCTTAGAACAGAGCTGAACGTTTCCCATGTGTGTACTCCCCATTCTCTATATAGTGCTGTGTGTCAGGGGTAACACAAATATTTTGAAGTCAGAGCCCGGAGAACATCACATTAATATTGTTTTGACGGGGACAAGCAGCTTGAGTATATTTACCTGAGGGCCACTAATACTAGTGGCCTCGATGAGGACAGGAAGCCGGTGGCTTGTCAAAGGTCCCCCCATTTGTCCTGATAATCTTTTCCAACTGCATTTTAAAACACTGCAGAGTTTTGGCGTTTACGGCTTCGGCGGGTAGGCGGTTCCATGGGTTTATAACCCTACAAGTTTATCTCGTTTGGGATTCGAACCCAGGATTCCTGATTTTGAATCGAGAATAAACCCAACTGTATTACAGAGGGCAACAGCCAATATACGATTAAAGAAAATGGAAGTAAAAATTATATGTATACATATGTATACACAATATTTATTTTGTTATGGGGTACCTGGCAGTGCCATCACTGTCGTTATAGTATAGTTAACGTATGATGCACCCCATACCCATCTTGTGGGCGGTAGTGGACCCCATACCCATCTTGTGGGCGGTAGTGGACCCCATACCCATCTTGTGGGCGGTAGTGGACCCCATACCCATCTTGTGGGCGGTAGTGGACCCCATACCCATCTTGTGGGTGGTAGTGGACCCCATACCCATCTTGTGGGTGGTAGTGGACCCCATACCCATCTTGTGGGTGGTAGTGGACCCCATACCCATCTTGTGGGTGGTAGTGGACCCCATACCCATCTTGTGGGTGGTAGTGGACCCCATACCCATCTTGTGGGCGGTAGTGGACCCCATACCCATCTTGTGGGCGGTAGTGGACCCCATACCCATCTTGTGGGTGGTAGTGGACCCCATACCCATCTTGTGGGTGGTAGTGGACCCCATACCCATCTTGTGGGTGGTAGTGGACCCCATACCCATCTTGTGGGCGGTAGTGGACCCCATACCCATCTTGTGGGTGGTAGTGGACCCCATACCCATCTTGTGGGTGGTAGTGGACCCCATACCCATCTTGTGGGTGGTAGTGGACCCCATACCCATCTTGTGGGTGGTAGTGGACCCCATACCCATCTTGTGGGCGGTAGTGGACCCCATACCCATCTTGTGGGCGGTAGTGGACCCCATACCCATCTT